AATGTGGAGCGTTATAAGGGTAATAAGGATAAATTAAAATGATAATAGGAATAAAATTTCAGAACTGCATAAAATATCGATGAATTTAGTTTGTTAATTTATAGTAAAGTTTGTGAGAGAGGACCGAAGTGTAAGCAAGGGAGAGGAAACAGAGATAATAGGCGAGATAGATTAGTTGAGCGATCTGAGGAGATTGCAGTGATAACAACTAGCAGGTCTCAAGATATGCATCAGACACAGCTTGTCCAAGAGGGATATGATAGTCCGTATGTGAGTACGTGATTATCAAGTCTATTCTTAAAGCAGTCCACTGAGGGCGCAGTGGTTACCTCGGCTGGGAGAGCATCCCAGGTTGCGACGACTCGCAATGAGAAAAAGTGTGCACGAATCTGAGTGTTTGCTCTTTGATGTGCAATCTTTTGAGGATTGCCTCGAGTGTAGTGGTGGTGCTGCATCGGTAAGATGCTCACATTGGGATGGTTTGGCGTGTCTAATATGGTGTACGCCATAATCAGGTAACCTCAGATTCTCCTGTAGCTCAGTGGGAATAATCTCAAGAGCTGGAGTCTGTCGTCGTAGGGTTTATTTTTCAACCCTATCGACCATTTTGTTGCTCGTCTCTGCACTCGATCCAAGTGATTAATGTCTCTTTTAAGCAGAGGGGGTGCGATGACGTTGTGAACCTCCAAGTGTGGGCGAGCGTACGTCTTACACAGGGTTAAAAGTAGTTTCGGGGTGATTGCACCAATCTGTCTTCGCATAAAAAGAAGAGTCGCATTTGCCTTGGCTGCATCTCTTACATAGTTTGGACTGGTGTGGAGGCTTTCTGTGGTTATTAAACCAAGATCGCGCTCTGAGGAGACATGAGGGAGCGGAATTCCATTGAGAGTGTAGGTGGTTTGCGTCATATGAGGCAGGAAATGCATGACGTGGCACTTCGGTTGCTTGAGTTTTAAACCGTTTTTCACTGCCCATTTCTCAATGGATGTAAGTTCCTTTTGAAGCTCAGTCGAATCCCCTTCGCTTCTCATGGACCTTCAGATCTTCGCATCGTCTGCGTAGATCAATGCCGGTGATCTAAGTGAGCCTAGCAGGTCGTTAATAAATATCAGGAAGAGGAGTGCGCCTAGGATGGTCCCGGTCCTCTATGAGACTCCTGAATTGGATACTCTCCAACTCGCGTGCACCCTGTTTACCTTGGTGCGAAACTTTCTATTCTCAAGGTAGTTTCTGAGCCAAGATACGAGTGGGTCAGTGAAGCCCATTTCCACAACCTTTTCGATTCGGCGTGCGTGGGGCACTGTCTCAAAGGCTTTTGCGAAGTCGAGAAATACTACGTGCACTGGTATTTTACGGTCCAAGCAGGATGTCCAACTGTCCCATGTGATGAGAAGATTAGATGCACACGACCTGCCTTTCCGAAACCCGTGTTGAGCTTCATGGAGTATTTTATTCTTATCCACGTGTAGTGAACGAGAACACAGGTGGGGCGACCGAATCGTATTTAACGAAAATTACAGAGTTACTCAGTAAAATCGGAAAACCATATCGTAAATTGTTCCTTCGCAAATGATCATTTCATCCTATCGAACTGGACTGTTCCTGTTGCGAAACATCAATCCATTGTCACTATTCATGCGTTTCATACAAATTACATTGTGTTTTAACTCTTCCTTTCTTGATCTTCCCCAATATTATGCTGCCGGACATTACGTTTACACTCACGTCATATACTACTTATGAGTAGCTCAAACCACACACGTACTCCCTCATTTGTTCGTCCACTAGTCGTTCCATAACCTTTGATAATATAGGTAGTAGTTCGACAGGTCTGTAACAGGCTGCGTCTTTTCTATTTCCTCCTTTTAAGACTGGAGAGAGAGAGTAGCTTGTTTCCATTCCGCTGGGAACTGGTGTGACTCCAGTGAATGCTTGAACAGGTTGCATAACGGTGAACAGAGGGCTTCAGCGCACTGTTGCAATACTATAGGGCAGATTTTGTCACAACCTGGTGACTAACCTGGGAGTAAGGATTTTAGTTTCCTTAAAAATAGGTCAGGAGTGATACGGATGTTCCCTAAGCCGTCAGCTGGCATTGGGTTGGCGTAATACTCTGAACATGTAGGCGCCTGGTTTAACTGATCAGAAAAATGGGTGTTGAAGATCTCGGCCATCTCTAGGTTGGTGAGGTCCCCCTCGTTTGGCCCTTTCAGGGAACACAACCCTTGATTAGTAGGTTTTCTTTCGGACATGAACCTAAACAGATGTTTCGAGTTTGCCTCTATTCTGGTGGCTAGCTTCGTCTGGAATTGTCTCCTGTCGCTTCTTACTTTGGAATCGCATCTATTTCTCAATGCCAAGTAATAACTGCGATCGGAATCCTTCAAGGAGACCTTTCACTTGTGCCAGTCTTTCCTCTTCTCCTGTAACAAGCGTTCCGAGCCGCGCCTAACCCAGGTTCTTCTGTTCTGGCGTTTTTGATGTGATTGAGGTACGTTGTCTACGACAGCGTTTTGGATGATATCTCTCACTGCTTGCCAGTGATCATCTATTGTCAGCCTCCACCACTCCCGTGGCCATGGGGTATGTAGGAGAACCTCTCTCATGCGTGTGTAATTTGCCCTACTGTAGCACAGGAAAGGCTCGTTATCGTCCGGTGTCAGCGTTTCGTTTGTGACCATGTTAAACAAGACTGTGCCATGGTCACTACTACCTATTGGAGCGCGGATGTGAACATCCTCAACCAGGAGCTGGTCGTTCGTTAACAGATAATCTAGGTTTGAGGACTTCCCTCCCTTAGTCCATCTAGTGGCACTGCATACGTGCTCAGTCAGCCCAGAGCTTCTAATGGCTGCACCAAGTTGTCTTTGGAACCAACCAGTGGGATTGCTGAGATTGCTGAGATTTAAAGATGGAGTATTGAAATCTCCGGTTAAGAGTATTTGATCAAACCCATGATTCTGTCACCTCAGTTAGTGGGGTCTCTCTGCTTTTAAGTGGCTATATATATATATATATATATCGCCACTCCGCCTCCAGTTTGTTGATCGCTGTCGCTTCGGAAGTGTCATGCCTGGTAAGCTTACTTCTTCATCTGCAATGTCAGGGGATAGCCATGTTTCTGTTAGGATTATGATCTTCAGATACATCTGAGAGCACATATTCCTGATTTCTAACAGCTTACCCCTTAGTTCTCTTACGTAGCTTTAGAAACACTTGGTGGTTTGTCTCAGCACCTGGTGCACATTTGCAGCAGCAGCCTTTGTCGGGTTTTCAGACAAGTTATTTAAACCGAATCGGCCAGTTCTTTGGGAACTGGCCTCTGCAGGTTCTTAGCCTGCGCGGTCGGTAGTTGACCGAGTTTAACCATCAGTTGCGTGCGTTCATCTTGGCCTCCCTGTTGTTGTCTCACAGATCTAGGTCGGCTCTCACATTATCTGATGTGGCTGGGCAGATCGTTCTTCGAACTGCTTTCTAGCAAGCTTCCTTCCGACACTGGGACATTAAATAAGATAAGTGAGTTAGATCTGTCGTCCCTGGTCTTGCTTGGAGGCTGCTTGTGAGTTGTGGTGTTGCTCTTTCCCTTCTTCACGTTCACCCAGTGTTTGGTTTTGCTGGCAGATACTGGCAGGTTGGCAACAACCAGCAGTTTTATCGGTGTGTTAGGAAGGGTTGTGGTAGCCTTGGTCAATTGTTTTACTGGTTTGCTGCCCTGCGATTTCGGTTTGGTCGTTCGGACTTGAGGGTTTATTTTGTGTGTGAGCTGTGGTTTTGTCAGTTCCTCAGATACTCTACACCGAGGGAAGATGTACCAGAACAATGGGCAATGGTGATTCAGCATGAAAAACCGTAGTACTCTTTAGGTGCTGTATTGTCGCAGTGACAATGTACTCATGTACTACAGAAAGTCAATTCGAAAGCATGGTCGATGGTTTTGACTGGCAGGAAAAACAGTCGTCCTTATGCTGTTTCTGGGCGTTGGACTGTGTCGACCGAGCCTTGGAGCATCTTTTTCTCCTATACTTAACTAGCTTACTGGTCTTTTTCGGAATAAGGGTGGTGTCTTGCTTCCTCTGTGGTGTCTGGGTTGAGTGGTCTAAAGTATGGACACTGAGGGGCGAACTATCGACTGACTTTTTGGGTTTTTTAGCAACCTGTTCGTATGATATTGGAATTTTTGATGCACTATCGACCCTGGGGTTTTTGCCTCTGTAAGTTTTCCTAGTTGTTACAGTCTAAAGAGTACTAGCGACCTTATTACTTGACATGATGCCAGGGAGATTAGGAGGTAAATACCTAGATCATTAGAATACGAGATACACAAGAAAAGGGTTTAGCAAGGAAGAAATTTAGAAGCATATAATAAAACTATACGGAATAGAGCCTGAAAGTACTCCAAAATTGCAACTTTACCTTTGACCGTATTAGTAGGTAACTTTGCATGTATCCAGTAACTTGTCCACAAGTCCTGTGTTTGTGAGTGATTGGATGTATGTATGCTGCCGAAGTAACTAGAAATAGAGCAGTTGAATGAGGTAGCTAGACCTACCGCGCAAGGGTTCTGACTTGGAATGGTTCCGTATGCCCGAAAATGTTTTCAGATTGTCAACCAATGAATGGAGACAACATTTTATAGCTTCGGCGGTGATAAAGTATCCTGAAAGTGGATTGTATTCCGTAAATGGAAGAGTCAGCGAGGACACGTAAAATTCGAATGAAAAATATTCCTGGACCCAGATAAATTATAGTATAAAATGCGCTGAGTTATTAGTAAGGCGAACTCACGAAAGTAAAATACAAAGTTCGACAGAAACACATTGAAAACTGTAGCGATTTTCAATATACAAGTAAGAGCGACATCAAAATATACATTGCTGAACCACATGCTGAACGAGACTGATAAATCCAGTTTCGAGTATTATTCACTCACTTATTATCACACATCCTCACAGTTACTAACAAATTCTTCATCGATTGATTTCATTCCACCTTAGCAAAACATGAAAGATACACAAGGATTTCGTTCATCATCACGACTGAAACAACAGATTGAATCACTCAATGCCTATGTTCCGACAAGTGAAAGTTTGAAACGATTTCAACGTATCTTGTTGGATGATTTGCAAGATCAGGTGAACACACAACAACGTCTTGAAGACAGCGCACAAGAGGCTGTTGGAACAATACAGTCACAGGATACTGGTAGGTTATATATAACAGACTGTGACAATTGACTTGTCAAATATGAAATACTTTTCGAGTTTATCTTTCCAATATTTAATTCTGTACTTACTTAGTTACATACGTATGCCTGTTACATCCAATGTAGCGTAATTTACCGATACGCATATTTAGAACTTTCGACTGTTTTGGCTGTTTCATCCAGATCAAGTATTGCAGTTCTTCTGCCTAACTGCCTCATGATCAACTAGGATGATTTACCACCAGAAATAAGTGCAGTGTATCGGTCATGCAAAGAACAAAATAACACCTAATCACACCATTATGAACGACTAACACAGGATGCTAACAGTCTGCTGCTCTAGATTCTCAGTTCCAGTATTCATATCTCTCGGTAAAACAATTGGTTCCCTAAACAGTTCCGTTCCATTCCACACGATTTCATCACAAACAATATTTACCACCTCATGTATATGCTATAGAAAATCGTACAGTTCACGTTTGTTTAATACAACGCACACGAAACGTGCATTATACTGCGTAATTTTAAATTTGTTACTTCGTAGTTCAGGAAATGAACACAGTTTGATCAGTCCGCATGACGAGATCTAATCTATATCAAAACAACGTTTCCGTACTGAGAGATTCTCACCATGTTGATTGAGACAGTTGAAGCAAAGTGTACCTTATCGAATTGACCATCATCCTATTGAATACTATCAACTGATCATAGACTACTACATCAATGTTTGTACTCTTGTTCACAGATGCAGATAAAATACAGCAAGCTGTCGACGAGGTTGTGCGTGTGGAACGAACGGAACAAGAACAACTTCTATCCGACAAAGAAACAATTATCCAACAACTTGAAAACCAGCTGCGTGAATTTCGCCAAGTTAGTTCATTTTGTGTGACAGAGTTTTCATCTCGAAGTGTATAGCTCATTAGAAAATCTACACATATTAGCATACTATTTTTAAATGAATTTCGAAAATTGTATTGTGTGATAAATACTCTGGACGAAGGTTGATTACCATGAATGCGATTCTTCAATAAGATAAATAAACGCTTGTCTGTCAGTGGCGGTTACAATATATGCTAGTTTACAATTGCCTGATTACTCGTACGACAATGAATCCGATGCTTATGAGAGGCATTTTGGAGTGTCGTGTACCGAAAACCGGTGCAGTATACATACACAAACCGTTGTCTCCGTGAACATACGTTCATGTTCAATTGCGTGTTGATTTGAAAGGAATAACTCCTGGTGAAATATAGGAATAGGGTCATTTCACACGAACATTTCTAAGAATATACCTGAGTCAATTTTTCGGCATAAACGTGTTCAGGCATTTCTGTTGCGAAATATCGAAACGATTCTCTCAACGCAAACTGCGATCCTGACATTGACATCCCAATGCCAATGTCTATCACAACAAAAGTCGATCGAGCTTGCACTTGACATAACTGATGCAATGATTAGGGATAGTTTTTAAATCAGCCATTCTGTGAACGCATGAGACAACTATTGTTTACACAGTTGGGAAGCGAGAGAGTTAGGTGATGCTTGCTCACCAAATCAGTGTACAAACAGATTGTTGCAATCAGATGTGACGAGCATGTATTAGCAGTTTCGAAATAACAATTGTAGACTGACTCACTGTGGCTTACTTGCAACTGCGAAGATCAAATAAAAATACCAAGGCCTGTGAACAAAATACTGCGAGAAATGGAGACAGAAATGAGAAAGATCAACAGAAGACAGACGTACTGGAAAGGAAAGTTCAGGACACAGTAGGTTCTAGTATTATGTTCGGCGGTCGCAATCTCCATTGAGATTCAAAGGCGTGAGCAATTGAATTAAATGAGTTCGGTATGTAGTCCTATCTACAGTCAGTCCACTTGACTTTGAGCACTTCAGAGAATCACTCTCTGAATGTCGCTCTATAATTTTCACGGTATACTCACTGTTACTCAAACACTGATCTTTTACAACTGCCATATAAGTGCAGTATTTGTTCAAAATTAGCACATTAGACAATAATTGCTGTTCATCTAATGTCCTGGTCTCCACATCAACTCTTGCGTACATAATTATTTGTCCAACAAACCGTATCTATATTAAGCAACCAGTGAATTATCAGACTGATTCAATGAAACGTGAAACTTATGTATTGACGGTTTCAAAGTAACAATCACTGAATGAGTAACAGTGGCATGAATGTGTTTGTAGTATTTGTTCGAAAATAACCGCCCATTAGACAATATTTACAGTTGAATAGATTGATGTTCCCCTGAGGTCCTGGATTCCACATCGACGCTTGCGAACATAATTATTTGTCTAGCGAATCGTGTCTTTAATGAATCAAAACTCATGTCCTGTGAGATTCAATATTCTTGAACAGTCATTTATTTACTCTGAACAATTTTCTGTTTTCCTCTCTCCATTAGCTTGAACAATTGCGTGCTCAAGTAATGCGTACTGTATTTGATGCATTACCTGAAAGTCAATTCAATGCTAATAGGGCACTAGGAACACCGAATGACATACACACCACCAACTCTGAATTCGCTGATGGATCTGTTGAATCATCGCATTTGAAAAATACATTGACCAGTGAAACGGGTCCATGTGAAGACCTAAATGAAAATGACGAGATATTAGATCGTGTACGGTTTCTAGTCGACGATTACAAACGTTTACAACATGAAGTAGAAGGGAATATTTCGGCAGAAGAGAAAATAACTCCACGAAACGAAGAATTCCAAAAGGAGTTAGATCAGTTCATAGATGTGTATGCAGAAGCACAAGTATGCACTGTTTACGTTTTCGTGGTTGTTGATTGACTGATTGCTTGATTGAGTGATATATTATCATCAATCGCTTCTTTGACGTTTTGAATTCATCGATAAATTGTTAGGCTTCGAATTAGTCTATTGAACACACTTCATTTTTAAGCTGAACAGTTCAATTGAGATGAGGTTATTTTACATGCTATTACATTATTTACAACGTATCCTTCACAAAATCTCAACAGTACGTCAAAATTTCTCATTAACTACCAAGTGAGAAACGTTGATTCAGGCTATTACTACTCTTATCACAACTGGTATAATTGACCGTGAGACTATATTTTTGTACTTTTAAATAATTTCTACAATCGATTGCAGGGTCATCATTGACTCATATTAGACCGTGAGTGAAGAGTGATGATGTTTAATTAACTATTTAAAAAGAACATTCTTCAATAAAATTTTATTCACTCTCCTAATACGGAAACATTCACATTACAATTTTTAACTGAGTAGTGAAATTCATTTTTCGCCATGATAAACACAACCTTCTTTCAATCAACATTAGTAATATCGACTGAAATTGACTGCAGTTCGAAACACAAAACTCAGACCGAAACTCAGATTTGTCGCTCTTTGTTCATATCTTAATATCCTCTGTTCCATTTGTGCAGTGGCAGTGCTTTCTCTTTCGTAAAACAAATGTTTCACATCATGGAATAAACAGTCTCCACTTCACACTATCAGCTTATCGTCAACTCATAAGTACAAGCGACATCGAAATATTCATTGTTGAACCACATGCTGAACGAGACTGATAAATCCAGTTTCGAGTATTATTCACTCACTTATTATCACACATCCTCACAGTTACTAACAAATTCTTCATCGATTGATTTCATTCCGCCTTAGCAAAACATGAAAGATACACAAGGATTTCGTTCATCATCACGACTGAAACAACAGATTGAATCACTCAATGCCTATGTTCCGACAAGTGAAAGTTTGAAACGATTTCAACGTATCTTGTTGGATGATTTGCAAGATCAGGTGAACACACAACAACGTCTTGAAGACAGTGCACAAGAGGCTGTTGGAACAATACAGTCACAGGATACTGGTAGGTTATATATTACAGACTGTGACAATTGACTTGTCAAATATGAAATACTTTTCGAGTTTATCTTTTCAATATTTAATTCTGTACTTACTTAATTACATACTTATGCCTGTTACATCCAATGTAGCGTAATTTACCGATACGCATATTTAGAACTATCGACTGTTTTGGCTCTTTCAACAACACCAAGTTATGCTGTTCTTCTGGCGTACTGCCATATGATCACTTAGGATAATTTGCCAACAGCAATATGTGGACTGAAACGGTCATGGAAAGAACAAGAGACCACAGAACTACATTATGATCAATGAATACCAGAGGATGCTGACAGTTCGCTGGTCTACGTTCTCAGTTCCAGTATTCACAGCCCTCGATAAAATAATTAGTTATCTCAACAGTTCCGTTCCCTCGTAGGTCGGGAAATCAACACAGTGTGTTCAGTCCGCATGACGAGCTACATAAAATGATGTGCTGAACACATTGACTAGGTTCGTTATTCGCTCGCTCAAGAACACACCATTTATTTTATGACCAGATGCTGATTATCATTTATTGACTATAGTTCTTATACACTAAGCCAGTAAATTTTAGGCTTCCAACACCATCTATAGGCTGTGAGATTTCCGAGGTAAAAGGGTGAATCACCGGCCTACACAGTTTATCGTCAATGCTTATCGAAGGCGTTTGCACTAATCTTTATAAAACAACGTTTCCGTACTGAGCGATTCTCACCATGTTGATTGAGACAGTTAAAGCAAAGTGTACCTTATCGAATTGACCGTCATCTTATTGAATACTGTCAACTGATCATTGACTACTACATCAATGTTTGTACTCTTGTTCACAGATGCAGATAAAATACAGCAAGCTGTCGACGAGGTTGTGCGTGTGGAACGAACGGAACAAGAACAACTTCTATCCGACAAAGAAACAATTATCCAACAACTTGAAAACCAGCTGCGTGAATTTCGCCAAGTTAGTTCATTTTGTGTGACAGAGTTTTCATCTCGAAGTGTATAGCTCATCAGAAAATCTACACATGTTAGCATATTATTTTGAAATGAATTTCGAAAATTGTATTGTGTGATAAATATTCTGGACGAAGGTTGATTACCATGAATGCGATTCTTCAATAAGATAAATAAACGCTTGTCTGTCAGTGACGGTTACAATATATGCTAGTTTACAATTGCCTGATTACTCGTACGACAATGAATCCGATGCTTATGAGAGGCATTTTGGAGTGTCGTGTACCGAAAACCGGTGCAGTATACATACACAAACCGTTGTCTCCGTGAACATACGTTCATGTTCAATTGCGTGTTGATTTGAAAGGAATAACTCCTGGTGAAATATAGGAATAGGGTCATTTCACACGAACATTTCTAAGAATATACCTGAGTCAAATTTTCGGCATAAACGTTATCAGGCATTTCTGTTGCGAAATATCGAAACGATTCTCTCAACGCAAACTGCGATCCTGACATTGACATCCCAATGCCAATGTCTATCACAACAAAAGTCGATCGAGCTTGCACTTGACATAACTGATGCAATGATTAGGGATAGTTTTTAAATCAGCCATTCTGTGAACGCATGAGACAACTATTGTTTACACAGTTGAGAAGCGAGAGAGTTAGGGGATGCTTGCTCATCAAATCAGTGTACAAACAGATTGTTGCAATCAGATATGACGAGCATGTATTAGCAGTTTCGAAATAACAATTGTAGACTGACTCACTGTGGCTTACTTGCAACTGCGAAGATCAAATAAAAATACCAAGGCCTGTGAACAAAATACTGCGAGAAATGGAGACAGAAATGAGAAAGATCAAAGGAAGATAGACGGACTGGAAAGGAAAGTTCAGGACACAGTAGGTTCTAGTATTCTGTTCGACAGCGAAATCTCCATTGAAGGTAAGGGGTGTGAGCAATTGAATTAAATGAGTTCGGTATGTAGTCCTATCTACAGTCAGTCCACTTGACTTTGAGCACTTCAGAGAATCACTCTCTGAATGTCGCTCTATAATTTTCACGGTATACTCACTGTTACTCAAACACTGATCTTTTACAACTGCCATATAAGTGCAGTATTTGTTCAAAATTAGCACATTAGACAATAATTGCTGTTCATCTAATGTCCTGGTCTCCACATCAACTCTTGCGTACATAATTATTTGTCCAACAAATCGTATCTATATTAAGCAACCAGTGAATTATCAGACTGATTCAATGAAACGTGAAACTTATGTATTGACGGTTTCAAAGTAACAATCACTGAATGACTAACAGTGGCATCAATGTGTTTGTAGTATTTGTTCGAAAATAACCGCCCATTAGACAATATATACAGTTGAATAGATTGATGTTCCCCTGAGGTCCTGGATTCCACATCGACGCTTGCGAACATAATTATTTGTCTAGCAAATCGTGTCTTTAATGAATCAAAACTCATGTCCTGTGAGATTCAATATTCTTGAACAGTCATTTATTTACTCTGAACAATTTTCTGTTTTCCTCTCTCCATTAGCTTGAACAATTGCGTGCTCAAGTAATGCGTACTGTATTTGATGCATTACCTGAAAGTCAATTCAATGCTAATAGGGCACTAGGAACACCGAATGACATACACACCACCAACTCTGAATTCGCTGATGGATCTGTTGAATCATCGCATTTGAAAAATACATTGACCAGTGAAACGGGTCCATGTGAAGACCTAAATGAAAATGACGAGATACTAGATCGTGTACGATTCCTAGTCGACGATTACAAACGTTTACAACATGAAGTAGAAGGGAATATTTCGGCACAAGAGAAAATAACTCCACGAAACGAAGAATTCCAAAAGGAGTTAGATCAGTTCATAGATGTGTATGCAGAAGCACAAGTATGCACTGTTTACGTTTTCGTGGTTGTTGATTGACTGATTGCTTGATTGAGTGATATATTATCATCAATCGCTTCTTTGACGTTTTGAATTCATCGATAAATTGTTAGGCTTCGAATTAGTCTATTGAACACACTTCATTTTTAAGCTGAACAGTTCAATTGAGATGAGGTTATTTTATATGCCATTATATTATTTACAACGTATCCTTCACACAAACTCTCTGAGATAGAAATTTGCTATCGGTTCCTGTTGTGACAAATCGTTTTAATGCCCACTGAATGTGTGTGTGATTCCGGTTTCAGGTTTTCGATGCTCACTTTGATATTATTGCTTTACATAGCCTTGGTTCGATCGTTCCTAATAACCTGCTCTATCTCAACTGCACGTCAAAATGTCTCATTAACTACCAAGTGAGAAACGTTGATTCAAGCTATTACTACTCTTATCACATTCCGTATAATTGACCGTGAGACTATATTTTTGTACTTTTAAATAATTTCTGCAATCGATTGCAGGGTCATTATTGACTCATATTAGACCGTGAGTGAAGAGTGATGATGTTTAATTAACTATTTAAAAAGAACATTCTTCATTAAAATTTTATTCACTCTCCCGATACGGAAACATTCACATTACAATTTTTAACTGAGTAGTGAAATTCATTTTTCGCCTTGATAAACACAACCTTCTTTCAATCAACATTAGTAATATCGACTGAAATTGACTGCAGTTCGAAACACAAAACTTAGACCGAAACTCAGATTTGTCGCTCTTGGTTCATGTCTTAATATCCTCTGTTCCATTTGTGCAGTGGCAGTGCTTTCTCTTTCGTAAAACAAATATCTCACATCATGGAATAAACAGTCTCCACTTCACACTATCAGCGTATCATCGACTCACAAGTACAAGCGACATCAGAACATTCATTTGTGAACCACATACCGAACGAGACTGATAAATCCGGTTTCGAGTATTATTCACTCACTTATTATCACACATCCTCAC